CTACTTAGTCACCAGTTCCTGCTTCAGGTAGATTTTAAACAAGTGAAGGAAGTGACATGAACTGATTGGCTACATGGACTAGAGAGGGTAAGGCTGAAGACTAGCTAAGAGGCTGCTGTAATGAAGTGTGTGACAGACTGGTGCCTGGACCAAGGCAGTTGTAGTTAGGATAGAGAAATGTAGACAGGTTCATGAGATTTCTCTTGTATAAGTAACAGGTGGAACACATAAAACTTGGGGATTGATTAGATAGGGGAGTACAACCACAGACAAATTCCATTTTTCTAGGCAGTTAGATGAGGAACTCTGTAAAAGAAGCAGGTCTGGGGCTTCCCTGGTGGCGCAGTGGTTGAGAGTCCGCCTGCCGATGCAGGGGACACGCGTTCGTGCCCCGGTGCGGGAAGATCCCACATGCTGCGGAGCGGCTGGGCCCATGAGCCATGGCCGCTGAGCCTGCGCGTCCGGAGCCTGTGCTCCGCAACGGGAGAGGCCGCAACAATGAGAGGCCCGCGTACCGCAAAAAAAAAAAAAAAAAAAAAAAAGAAGCAGGTCTGTCGTGAAGATGCTGGAGGATTAAGCTTTGGACAGATTGTGTTTGAGGGCTGCTAAATGGATTTCAGTAGCTGGCTGGTTTTTGAAGTGCAGAACTCAGAGGGACACACATGGGATGGAGATATGGTTCAGCAACATGTGGGTGATCTTGAAGGCTTGAGGGTGGTTCCCTTGGGGAAGAATGTGGAAGCACTAAAGCATGGTGCCCTGGGGAACGTTAGGCAGCCAGAAGGTAGGTTTGGCAAGAGCAGAAGGTAGAAAAGCCCTGGAAATGACTTAAATCATCAAACTCAAGAGAAGTGAGTGTATAAGGAGCTAGTTGAAAATTCCAGAGAGGACAAGGTAGGTAAAGACTAAACAACGTGGCAGCCTTTGTCCAAGCAGTCATACTGAGTGTGATGGGAATAGGATCCAGATTGAGCTGGACTCCAGGGTGAATGGGATAAAATGAGGCAAGTACTGGAAGGGGGGTGTGTGAAGGGAAGAAAAGAAAGTAGGTGGGTGGTAGCAGGATGAAGGGCCCAGAGAAGGTATTTTTTTGAGGCAGAAGAGATAAGCATGTCTAAATGCTGATGGGAAACGGTCAGATGGGTGGGCAGGTAGGTGGTATTTTTCTGCTGTTATTTCCAAATAAATGATGAGAATTGCTTAATGTTTCCATGAAGTAGTAGAATTTACTAGAAGACAGAAATTTATAAAACCTTGTATGTTAGAGCAGCAGGATTTCAAACTTCTTAAAAGCATACGAGTGATTCAGGTTTTTAAGGGCTTTCATCCCCCCCCCCCCATGATTGCCCTCGTTCAGGGCATTCTGTTTCAGTTATATTCTGATAGTTCCTTATATTGATTTTTTAAATTGTTTAGATGAAAAATATTAACATTCTTAGGAAGCTGGAACTTTTTTCTGGTTGACTTGTATTTATTACCATTTTTTTTCTTTTTATAAAGAAATCAGATGGTACTTTTCTTTGCTGGCTGCTACATTCATAGGAGCTAAGTTTTTAGGGCAGTTATATCAGGAACTTATTTTTGCCCCATGCCATTTAAGTGGAAATTAAGTGCCTCAGTCCTGCCCATCTACCTTGAGCACGCTGTCCTTCACAGGGTAAGATCCAGGGGGGATGAAGAGAAGGCAAGGCAAAATGGGGAGACCATACTAAAAGTAGAGAGTCCTGGGAGAAAGATTTGATTGAATTAGGTATTTGAACGGATTAGGAAGTTGAAACTGGTAGAGTTGATCCTGAGTATGCCAGGCTGACTCTGTAATTAGGAAATGAGGTATTGGCTTATATAATTTCTTACCTGTTCTTCCAATTTCCCTCTTTCATGATTTTTTTCTTCTTGCTGTATCCTTCCTCTCCTTCCACATCTTCCGCCCTGGAGGTGAGGAACATGATTCATCATTTTGAGAGCCACAAAAGTCAGCACATAGTTTCTGAGCTTCTGCTTTTCTGGTGCTTTGTTCTAGGAGAGACACTGGTCCTTGCCCTTAGGGAGGTTGAAAGGAGAGAGGGAGGCAGAAAGGTAAAAAAATTAAATTCTGCGTACCATGGTGGAAACCTGTCTTCTGTGTCGTTGATAGAGCAAAAGGAGGAGTGTGGAGCTCTCCCTGGGGGTGACTCAAGCTGAGTGGAGAAAAAGGAGTGGAGGTTTTGTTGGCTCGACAAGGATGGTAAGGGTGTGTAAATCCCAGAAATAGGGGATGGAAAGTAGTGGAGGTATAAAGTAACAATGGCACTGGAAGGGCATTCAAGTGGTTTGGTAAACCAAAGAGCAGGATTTGACTGGGACATTGGTCAGTAGGTGCAACTGAAGAGGTGTCAGGATTGTAGCAGGTCTGTGTGCCCTGCAAAAAAGTTCAGCTTCTATCCTGCAGGTAAGTCAGCCACTGAAGGCTCAGGATTTTGTCATGATCAGATCTGTAGTTTGCAAAGATGACTTTGGCACACCATGGAGGGTAGTTTGGAAGGGTACAACAGAAGGTGGGCGCCCACCTGTAATGGTCAAACTGCATTGAGGGGACACACTCAGTGCCTTACAAGTCATGTGTCTAATTTAAAGAGTTTTTGATACATGTATAATGTATGGAAAAAATCTTTCTGATGATTAGCCTCCAGAGAATTTTTACTAGAATCCTTTTAAGGGCTGTGTTTACTGTGTGTTGGCTATGTGATTTTTGTCATAGAGTTGTGAAGATCAATTGAAAGACTATGTCAAGTGTATTTTTTATCCTTATATTTATGTTTATATATACATTTATATTTACTTATGTTTTCTGTGAGCAGGTGGTTGAATTTCGGGTTAATGAACTTTAACTTTGATACCATTTTTTTAAAAAAGTGAACCTGGATATATAAATATCTCCATGTCCAACCCTTACATGAGTGCATGCCTGTGTGTGTATACATGTGCATGTGTTAGCATGTATGTTATGCTTGTCTGGGGCATGCATGTGTATGTGTGTGTGTGTGTGTCCTTTTCTGGGTATATTTGGCAATGTAAACCAGGGATTAAAAATTGTTGAGAAGTGGCCAGTGTATAAATACACGTTGGGTGATTGTCATTTAGTTATGCTAAAATTTTATCTTCCCAATTCAGTTGGAATAATTTCATTAACAGTGCCTGAAGCAACAGGATATATGGTTAAATTTTCTTTTAGAGAATTGCCTAGTTACAACGGATCCAATTAAGTTCTGCATATGTTATCAGTGGCATTAAATGCAACCAAGTGCGGTGTTAAGTAAAATGAGAAAAGTTATTTTAGTAAAAAAGTAACTTGTACTTAATATATATTGAGCTAGTAAACAGCAAATATAGGTCTGAAGAGTAACATATTCTTATTTAAAACATGAAATGATCATTTAACTTGAGATTATTGTTTTAAAATTTGTTAGTAAGTTCACAGTAAATAAAATCAAGTATGTAACTTTTGAAAACACCAGGAACTAGAAATGAGTAATACTTGAAGAAGAATTTCTGTTTTCCAAGGGTGAACAATTCTTTCTTTCTTTTTTTTTTTTTTTTTTTGTGGCTGTGCCACATGGCTTGCAGATCTTAGTTCCCCAACCAGGGATCCAGCCCAGGCCCAGCAGTGAGAGCACCGAATCCTAACCACCGGACCACCAGGGAATTCCCAACAATTCTTTTTTCTATAATCAAGATTTTAAAAGTCACATAATTGTGAAATAAATCAAAGCTGCCTTTTTTATGGCTGGTAATTTTTATTTAAAATCTATTTGAAAAGTACAGTGTTCTTAGAAAGGTTTGGTGGAGTTATAAATGTTACTATAATAATTTCATGTTCTATCCTACTTGTCAGTAATAAACATTTTAAAAGGTTTTATTTTTAAAGAAAACTTTTTTTTTTTGGACTTCCTTGATGGCGCAGTGGTTAAGAGTCCGCCTGCCAATGCAGGGGACACGGGTTCGAGCCCTGGTCCGGGAAGATCCCACATGCCGCAGAGCAGCTAAGCCCGTGCGCCACAACTACTGAGCCTGCGCTCTAGAGTCCGTGAGCCACAACTCCTAAAGCCCGTGCGCCTAGAGCCTGTGCTCTGCAACAAGACAAGCCACCGCAATGAGAAGCCCGCACATTGCAACAAAGAGTAGCCCCCGCTCGCCGCAAGTAGAGAAAGCCCGCACGCAGCAACGAAGACCCAACGCAGACAAAAATAAATTAAAAAAAACAAAAACTTAAAAAAATTTTTTTTGCTTAAAAACAGAGGCCAAACTAACCAACTGCAAAACAAAAAATATACAACCAAAAATAGCCCTGGATCGCTGGGGTGCTGTGAGTGTTACAAGGGAGGTTCTAAACTCCATGCTGTGGCCAGGTGCCCCTTGTCCAAGCAGTTTGCTGGCCTTGGGCCTTTGTTCCCTAATGTGTAAAATGTGATTGGAATGGTGAGCTGGGACATTGAAATAGGTGATTTAAGTTTATTTTTCTTCTGTTTAGTGTCCAAGAGATACAGTTCTGTGTTTGGTTCTCTAATCTCTGCTTAGTTCATCTAAGTGGAGTTTGGGGTTGACCTTTTTTTTTTTAAAATAAATTTATTTATTTTATATATTTTTTACTTTTGGCTGCATTGGGTCTTCGTTGCTGCATGTGGGCTTTCTCTAGTTGCGGCGAGCGGGGGCTACTCTTAGTTGTGGTGCACGGGCTTCTCATTGTGGTGGCTTCTCTTGTTGCAGAGCACAGGCTCTAAGCGCGCAGGCTTCAGTAGTTGTGGCACGTGGTCTTAGTTGCTCCGTGGCATGTGGGATCTTCCTGGACCAGGGATTGAACCCATGTCCCCTGCACTGGCAGGCGGATTCTTAACCACTGAGCCACCAGGGAAGTCCCTGGGGTTGACTTTTTTTTTACATGACATTATTTAGGAATAGATGTCCTTAGGATACTAGCTGAACAATTATAAATCTAAAATTTTTATTTGTGTTTAAAATTTTAGGTATGCAATACCCCCAGAGCATGGAAAACGACTGGAAAGACTAGCTCAAGGTAAACTTGCTTTCTGTTTCTCATCTAGATAGGTTTTTTGTTTTTGAGGTATTGGGTTGGCCAAAAAGTTACTTCGGTTTTTAAGTAAAAATAAAAGACAGATTTTTCATTTTCACCGAGAATTTTATTGAACAACGTATTCACTGTTTTGTTCCACTACCTTCTGACATCTTTGGGGCAACTTCATAATTCCATCTTCCCAAAACTTTTTATCTTTTTGAGCAAAGAAGTGTTCCAGGTGCCTTTTACAGTCTTCCCAGGAATTGAAATTTTTTTCATTAAAAGAATTTTGTAAAGACTGAAATAAATGGAAATCCAAAGGTGCAACATCTGGTGAACACCGTGGATGCATCAGAACTTCCCAGCCAAGCTGTAAGTTTTTGTCTGGTCATCAGAGAAACATGCGGTCTTGCATTATCCTGGTGGAAGATTATGCGTTTTCTGTTGACTAATTCCGGACGCTTTTCACCCAGTGCTGCTTTCAGTTGGTCTAATTGGGAGCAGTACTTGTTGGAATTAATCGTTTGGTTTTCCGGAAGAAGCTCATAATAGAGGACTCCCTTCCAATCCTACCATATACACAACATCACCTTCTTTGGATGAAGACCGGCCTTTGGTGTGGTTGGTGGTGTTTCATTTTGCTTGCCCCACGATCTCTTCCATTCCACTTTATTGTACAGTATCCACTTTTCATCACTCGTCGCAATTTGTTTTAAAAACAGAACGTTTTCATTAGGTTTAAGTAGAGAATCGCATGCGGAAATACAGTCAAGAAGGCTTTTTTGCTTAACTTATGTGGAACCCAAACATCAAAGCGATGAAGGTAACCAAGCTGGTGCAAATGATTTTCAATGCTTGATTTGGATATTTTGAGTATGTCGGTTATCTCCTGCGTGCTATTACGTTGATTGTTCTCAGTTAATGTCTCTATTTGATCACTATCAACTTCAACTGTTCTACCTGACCGTGGAGCATCGTCCAGCGAGAAATCTTCAGCACGAAACTTCGCAAACCACTTTTGACATGTTCACTCAGTCACAGCACCTTCTCCATACACTGCACAAATCTTTTATTTGCATTTTAGTTGTGTTTTTAGCTTTCTTGAAATAATAAAGCATAATATGCTGAAAATTTTGCTTTTTTCCCCCATCTTCAATATTCAAATGGCTACACAAAAATTCATCAGTTTTGATAAGCTTTTTTTTAAAATGCACACCTGATATGACAGCTGTCACAATACAATCTAACAAAATTGTTTCAAATGAAGTTAAAGACAACTAAGTGCTGCTAGAGCCATCCTACGGAAAAGACCTAATGAACTTTTTGGCCAAACCAATATTTTTGCAGTGTAGAATATCACTGTGTTAATTTTGTTCTTTTCAAGTTATTGGCATTTAAGTATTTCTCTCATTGAGTAATTTTAATTTTTTCACATTAATGTGTGCATATTTTTCCCTGTTGCATAATCTTCATGATTATTTTAGTTGGCTGCTTAGCTTTTTGTCAACTGATTGCACTTAACCTATTTTGGTTATTTCCAAATTTTTTTCTCTTTTTTATAGTGTACTTAACATCACTGTGCCAATAATATTTTTTCTTCCTTTAGTTGTACCCTTGGGATAAATTCCAAGGAGTACTGATGCTGCATCTTGGGCTGTAGGTGTTTTATGAGCACTTTTCATGTTGCCATATCATTTCACTAAAGGGTTGTGTTAAATCTCTTTTTGACCCCCTCATTTTTATTTGGCCCCCTGGGCCTGAGAGTGCCTGAAGTATGAAGGTGAATGTCCCCAGCTAACAGGATGAGCATGATATTGTATGCCTTCTTAGACTGTTAAAATTAAACATACTTTACTGGAGCTAGAATTTTTATTTTTTAAGGTTTTGTCCATCTTCTTTTTTTTCTTCTTCTAGTTTTGTTGAGATGTAGTTGACATATAGCACGTTATAAGTTTAAGCTGTTCAGCATAATGATTTGACTTAATACATCATGAAATGATTACCACAATAAGTTTAGTGAACACGCATCATCTCATATACATACAAAAATAAAGAAGTGGAAAAAAATTTTTCCCTTATGATGAAAACTCTTAGGATTTACTCTTTTAACAGCTTTCGTATATAACATTCAGCAGTGTTAATTGTATTTATCACGTTACATATTGCATTTCTAGTACTTATTTATCTTATAATTGGAAGTTTGTACCTGTTGACTACCTTCATGCAGTTGCGCCTCCTTCAACCCTGTCCATCTTCTTAAGGGCCAGGTTGAGTCATTCTTCTGGGAACTCTATCAGTTGCTTTCACTCTGTGACCACTTGTATCTACAGAGAGCAGCTTCTACTTTTCTTCCCTGACTTAAAGATACGCCAGGCAACTTTGCTCTCACCTGCTCCCGCAAGGGAAGAGAATCGTATTCACTCCGTCACCCTCTTCCTGTTTTGCCAGCCACCCCTAACCAAGCACGACGTAGACTGGTAGTGACTTATTTCCAGGGGAAAGTGGAGTTCCACTGAGTGACAACTGAAGATAAGACAGAATGTCTCATTCAGAATGCCTTTACTCAGAATTGAATCCTCAGGGAGCATTGTCTTTTCATTCAGGTGCTGATCTAAGTTTCATTGGTATGTTAGGGTTGCCTTCTAGTAGAAAAGGGATTTTGTTCCTGCATTATGTGTACTTTCATTTAATAATGAAATGGGGACACTGAGAAACCCAGTCCTTTGACTTGACAGTTCTGAACAGAAATTGTTAATGATATCTAAAAGTTACTTTCCTCCAAATTAGAGTATCACGTTTGTAAGAATACGCATTATTATAATTTTGGCAGGCTAATAACTATAAAGACAGTGTTTTTATAACATAATACATTATAGTAATAATAGCAACGTAATTGTAATCTTGAACTTTGTTAGGGACTGTTTTCATGAATATTAAGGTGGATGAATCCTGGTTCTGGATAATAGATTAGAGCACAGCTTAGAAAATGATTACCATAATCCTTAAATACCCTGGCAATGAACTTTGTGCTAAATCTATATGCTGTGAACTATCCTCGTCCCTGTGATATTATTCTACCATGTTCTGTTCACCTCATCGCCAGAGAACTTTTAAAATGGAGCCAGTGTAAATTTTACGGTATGGACTCACATGCTAAAGTTTTTGCTATAAACTGTCTGTAAGCACTTTGATGTAAACTGTCTGAAAATGACATTCCAGGAAAATGGATGCCATTTGCTTAATCAGTAAGAGATTAATAAACTTGAAGGTTGAACGAGAACTTTAAACTCAATTGCATGTTTTTTGGAAACTTACTGCAGCATTATTTTGAGAAATGATTCAGGGAAAATACCCTATAGGACAGTGGAGGATTTCTGTCTGCTGACCAGATGCCAGCCAAGTTAATTGAGTTCTGCTAAGTAATTAAAACGATAAAATAACGCAGTAAATGAGATGGAGTACTATAGGTTGTCTAGGTCAAGGCAGTACTTGATACATAAAATGAAAAGCAGCCTCGGATATTTTCCATTATCTTGTCTGAACATCATAATTATCACACTTGCCTTTTATGCATGAATGCTTTCATCTTTGGTTTGTATTGAAATCTTGATTGACTGTGGCACCTACAAATATTTTATCTAAAAGACGTTATGCCTGCATCTAAATAAAGCCAGGAGTTTGATTTTGCCCTTCAGCTGTTTTCTCATCTATACAGGGTTTTCCCCAATATTACGTAGACATAAATGTAATAAAAAATCTCAAGTGAATTGTTGGCAATTTTTATACTTGTTATGTTCACCTATAATGCCGTTGCATTCTTTCTAATTTTTGGCTTGATACAATTGAATGGAAAGTATAAAGGAGAATAGAGATATAATATTAAATCATAAATGACAGTTTTGAAGATTTTCAGTTTTAAGAATTTCTAAATCTCATCTATTTTAGAAATAAGACTATCTTTGTGGTTCTATTAAGTTAAGGAAGATATGGATTAAAGTAAATTGAGAGCAGCTAAATTTTTTTGTGAGTGACTGTATTCCATTGGTCTCTCATTGTTAATAAAGTGCTAATATTTTTGAAAAATTGAAGATGCTTTACTTTGGTCAAAATTTTGGTTACTGGGAAAAGAATATGTGAGTTAGGACTTTTTGCAGCAGATTTTGGAATTCTGAATGATCAGCAG